TTTTTTTTTTAACTATTGACCAGTTTTCAATCAATAACACGGAATCTAAGGGAGATACCAAAATTTTTGTTATAACCTTTTTTGTGTAGCTGATTGAGTGCTACAACAACTGTAATTACAAAAATTTCGCTATCTCCCTTAGATTCGGAAGTATTCCTCAAAAACGCAATTGGGAGATGAGTCGACTGATCTCCGTTTACCACTTCACTACTGAATTTTTGTAAACTGATATTTCAAAAGGATATTTCATTTCTTTGTGATGTTTTCTTCAATGAAATTGATACGTGGCCGTCAAAAAAATTAGCAATCCATCGATATAGAGCGGCCTCTCACGAGTCTCTGCGTGTATCGATTAGGGAAGCGCTCCGCCAGCTAGACTAGCCTACATTCGTGCACCCCCTTTTTCACTCAACCTCCCTCAACCGCCCTCTCCGCTCCGCTAACCGTCATCCGCCCGACCTCGACTCCTCATTCACCATTTGCCCCTCCACCCACATTTTACTTTTACCCTGAGATTCGCTGGATACTGAATGAAAAAAGTTCCAAATTCATATAAAAATGTATTAAAGAATGATTTTTTATATTAAATCATTTACTACAGGATTTCTCACTCGCGAGAATAATGCCGCCGATTAATTTCCGTCAGGTTGAACTCCTGTGAATGAGAAAAATAATGAAATATTCTATTTTATTTCCCCTCATTCGCTTTTGATTGATAAAATGTTGTGTATGGAGATCTATGCACACGAAGTGATGCACAAGGTGAAAAAGGGGGAGTGAGAAACTGTGTCACGATTGCGCGCGGCTACCCCTCTATACCACCCCCTTAACCGCTCAAAACCTGAATGCAGTTCATTGTGGCTCTCCGAGAGGAGTTGAGTCATTCGAGTCCGGCATTCAGATGCAACCGGCCGGTCCGAGATATCAGATCACTCCCAGTGTTTTCGGAGAAGGAGAGAGCGAGGAAGACGAATAAAAGGTACCGTCTTTCGTCCCTTTAACATTCTTTCCGATGGTAAAAAAAATTACTGAAATCATTCCGGGGGCGAGGGCTCGGATATTCAGCTAGGGGCCATCCGGCTTTCGAAAAAATGGAAAGAAACTGGTTTAGGGAATTCGAGACGCTGATCCTCATTCCGCGTTTTTTTTCTCCCTTTTAAACTCCTTAATTCATCACGCGATGAAGAAAGAATTTGTGAAATTTTTTTTTACAAACTTTAGGAAAAGAGGCAATGTTTTCGGTCAAAATGTCGTAAAAACATTTTGTTGTTCAGTAAATTATATTTTTGTAATTTTTGAGATTTGGCTCTTGATGCAATTTTTTTTCGTTAATTTCGGGTAATTACGAGTAAATATTTTCCCTTCCATTGTTTACCCATTTTAAATTCCTTGGGAGGGGGGAAACATGACTTGAATTTATCACGAAATAAGCAAAGCATTTGTGGAAACATTTTTTTCAAAAACTCTAGAAAAAATTCATTATTTTTAGTAAAAATGTCGTAAAAACATTTTGTTTTTCAGAAAATTATATTTTTGTAATTTTTAAGAGATTTGACTCTTGATGCAATTTTTTTCGTTAATTTCGGGTAATTACGGGTAAATGTTTTTCCTTCTATTGTTCACCCATTTTAAATTCCTTGGGAGAGGGGAAATATGAGTTGAATATATCACGAAATGAGCAAAGACTTTGCGGAAACGACATTTTTTTCAAAAACTCTAGCAAAAATTCATTATTTTTAGTAAAAATGTCGTAAAAATAGTTTGTTTTTCAGTAAATTATCTTTGTAATTTTTAAGACATTTCGGGTAATTACGGGTAAATGTTTCCCCTTCCATTGTTTACCCATTTTAAATCCCTTGCCAGGGGGAAATATGACTTGAATGCATCACGAAATGAGAAAAGAATTTGTGAAAACGTTATTTTTTCAAAAACTCTAGAAAAAATTCATTATTTTCAGTAAAAATGTCGTAAAAACATTTTAATTTGCACGGAAATAATCATATTCTGATAATTTCCTACAAAATGCTCTCTCCATACAATTGAGTCTTCCCCTATCCACCGATTTCGTCAATTACGGATATCAGAAATTTTCTTGCAACTCTTAAAAACAAAACGTCATTCGAACCATGTTTTTCATCCTCAGCAGACGAGACCGCCTATTAACCACCGGAAGTGGAAATCTACAGACTCGTTAAGCAGTGAGTGGAGGAGGTAATCGTAACCGATAATCTCGACGACCTTGGAACCCGTAGAATCTATAAAAAGAGCCGAAAAAAGAAGCTACGAGAGTTGAGTGTCAACTTCTCCTGAGTGTTTACTCCGGCGTAACTGTCACATGTGTCTCATCCGAGAAATGTTCTGAGGTACCTATTATATATATACACTGCTTGTATATTGTCCTTTTTTTTCTCTCCTCACTTCCTCTTGAGTTTCTTTTGGTATTGAAACTGGACGCCTACGCCCTATCGTGTGTACGCTACGTTTTTCCCGCCTCCATTCGTCCCACGCAATTGTCCATTGACGGCCATAGCAAATCGTACACGAATGTTCTAACATTTTTATTGTCGACACAAAAGGGTAAGAGTGAAAATGTGCAGAAATTGCGGTAATAAAAATAGATTATGCTTGAGAGCGAAATTGCTGTCATTCTTTACTCTGATTTGAAGTAAATGGGAAACAATTTTTTTACAGAAAAAAATTGAAATTATGATTGAATAATTCAGTAGCGAAGTGGTAGAACGGTATAAGTCAATTTTGACTATTGACCAGTTTTCAATAAATATCTCGGAATCTAAGGGTGATAGCAAAATTTTTGTTATAACCGTTTTTGTAGAGCCGATTGAGACCTACAACAAATGTGATCACGAAAATTTCGCTATCTCCGTTAGATTCGGAAATATTCCTCAAAAACTCAATTGGGAGATGAGTCAACTTGAGGCGGTCTCCCACTTCGCTACTGAATTATTAAGTTCAGTAGAATGTTTTTCTCCCCTAAAATTAATTGTTTTCACCGAAAAAATTCTTCATTCGCCAATTTTCGGTAATTTATCGAAATAAAATTAGCGAAATACCTTCACATTCGACCGTAAAAAAAATCTGGTTTCATGTGTTGCAAAAATCGAAACCACGTTTCCGTCCGTAAACAGAGAAAGCTTTGAACTCGGTTTTGCTCCGATGAAAGCCCCCTTTCATTCAAAAATAAAACGCCGAGAGCAAATGCAGCCAGTGGTCCATGTGAATGGATCGAGACAGTAGAGTCTTCTAGGTGCGGGCGAGTGCGCGTGTGTTGTGCGTTGTTCCTCGAGCCTATCCCTTCCCGATGGTATCTCCACAGGGGCCGCTTCATTCACAACTTCGGTCGTCAGTCCCTTCGATAAGAGGGATTTCCAAACATCACGACCGATCATAAACTCGAGAGAAATTTTTTAACAAATCTCTAGCGACAAATGCAATATTTTGAGTAATTTTCAAACATGTTCGCAAAATCGTTCTAGCAAACGGAGTTTTGCATGAAATAGACTAACTCCTCGATTTTGCAGAATTATTCATGACGTCTGGATTTCGTTCTCCCAAAAGACGTAGAAATAAAAAGAAAATTATTGATTTCCCCCTCGTCTTCCCCCCAATGAAGCCATTCACCCCAGTAAACAAAGAAAAATCCCGATCCAATTTCCCCTCGAGTTCCCTATAACGATGAAGCAATAGGTAAAAGAGAGCTGATCCATTTCCACCTCTTAATTGAGACGCTCCTCCACTCCTCCCGAAAAAAAGTTGAACAATAAGACGTGAGTGTCAGCCCCATATATTCACCCCAGAGCCAAATCGCCCGGAGATTTGGGGGAGGACGCCCACGCACTCCTCACTCAGAGGCCAATCGCAGGACGCACTTTACGCGGGTGTTTGTGAAAGCTCGAAAGCTAGAGCTATACAGCGAAGAGGGGGAAGAGGAAGACAGCTCCAACCGTGAGGATCCGGGGGGATAGGGGAGGGTGAGGGGACTTCCCCTCTCGATTTTGGTCTTTTCAGCAGTCAGTGCTACGACTGTCCTCCTATTCACTGGGGTTCTGTGGATTTTCCTCTTGAAACAACAAAATACCTCATTCAAATCGATGGTTTTTCTGCGGAAATCGATAATCACCTCTTCGACTAGAGACATTTTTATAAATTGGAAATACCTCATTGAAATCGATGGTTTTTTTCCGGGAAATAATAATCATCTCTTCGACTAGAGACATTTTTATAAATTGGAAATAACTGTCTCTTCATCAATTGGAGGATTAATCTAGTAAAATTGTTTCGGGATAAACTGAAAAAAAATAGAGCGGTGGATATAATTTATTCTATTACTATTCGTGAATTTAAAAAATCCCCATAAAGATATTTTTGCCCCACAAAAATCAAGAACGATCGCGAGTGCTAAACATTTTTTTATCAAATGGATAAATGAAAGATCAAAATTAAATGTTTTGATAAAATCGGTATTTCAGTAAAAACTTGAATAAATTGAGAATAAATCCTGCGTAAAAAACCCTTCATTCAAAAACAACTCAAAAAATGCGACCAATTGCGGACAACAATTACCGCCCCAAATAAATAAACTATTGAATTCAAGTGCTCCATGAACATTTCAAAACAACTTGGATTCAATGTGTCTCTCCCTCCCCGAGGATACGAATCGCTCGACCATGAGGCAATGCAGTGTGTACCACGGTAAATTGAAAATCCTTTTTCCATCCCAATCATAACTAGAATCCCTAATTTCTCACACTCCGAGAAGACGAGGGCCACAGTTCCCGCGATTCCCACTGCAACAATAATCTAAAAAGACTTACACGTGATGCTTTCGCATCCTCTCCCGCCAAATTCCGCCCGAACCGCCACAACCGGGCATTCCCATTGGCCCAGTGCCTCGCGCTTCCCCCTCCCGCGCTCTTGGCCGTTGAAATCCGGTGGCAACGAGCATTCGGTGAATGGAATGTCGAGGCAGTTCGAACCCGACTGTTGCGCAGGTCACATCGGTTTCCACAGTTTCATTGAAACAAACATGGCGATTCTCAGTGACTCTTTTACGAATATTCACACAACTTCAGCTCTATCCACAATTCTCCTCGGGACTATGATTATTTCGGAGCGAATTGGAGGCATCGCAGGTAAATTTTCACCAATTCCCCGCTCAATTAATTCCCCCGAAGTCCGAAAAACCTGTGAATTCAGCTGAAAAACGGCAAAGGAATTCACTTTCCGGCATGTGAGTGCGAGAACCGACGAATAAATCATTAAAACCAGCGAAAAAACCAACGGAACTGGTAATCTTCAGCGGTTATTCGCGGTTTTATCGTGTGAAAAAAAAAATTGTGTACAACGGCGCATCCGATTCATCAACGCGAGAGCCGGCGATCCTATTTCCTGATTGGTTGTACTCAGCATCTGTCTACTCCCCCGCCCCTGCTCCCCTCGCGTAACTCTCCGCTCGCCGTTCATAAAATTAGCCCAATGTTTACTTCCTGTTGAGCGATAGGAAGCCGACGATTCTCTCTCCTTTCGTGTTTTTCCGTCTCTCTTTATCTCGCCAACGCTTGGGGATTGAGTTGGAGTCGCACGGGTTATCTCCGACATTTCCTGTGGTACTTTAATGACTTATCGTGAACAAAATGTGGTCTGTACATTTGTGGATGCAGGGGGAAATGCAGTTTGTACAGTGAAGAAGCGAAATAATAATACTCGTCGTCTCGCGTTTCCCACTGAAGTTTTATGGGTCTCATTAGAGGTGGAGGGGGGAAGTAAGAGGCAGTGTCGCTCCATTTTGCCCATGCATGATATTTTTACAGGGAAATTACCCTGGGCAACTGATCGTAGGCTTTTACATGGGCACGATGATTTAATTGTGTGATTCATGGGCCTTTGTTTGATGTGCTATTACGAGAGTAGGGATTTTTCACATGGTGCATGAGTGATGCCACTGACCTTGGACGAAACAATCAAGTTCATGCAATTTTTATAATTTTATTAACGGGAAATTCACAGCTTCGTGCGATTCCGCATTCTTTTTTCGTCTTATTATTATGAAAATCAACAATATTAACGATAACAAACATAAAAAGTGTAAGATACTGTTTGAATTGAATTTTTAAAGACGGAGATTGAAAATATGTAGGGGAGGGTAGGGTAAAATGGACACTAGACTTTTTTCAAATTATTCGTAACTCCGAAACAAATGGAGAGGAGGTTGGGGTAAAATGGACACTTTTGACTTTTTTTTAAATGTTAATGACGGGTTGAAATGCTGATAAAATTTAATAATTTTTTCTTCATTGCAAAGAACAATTCTTTCCCTTTGTGATGAGCCTAAACTGAGCTGAATTGATAAATTTGTTTCTGAGTTATGAGTAATTAAAACAAAAGTCTAAAGTGTCCATTTTACCCCACTCTTCCCTATCAATAGAGCTCAGTTTAGGCTCATCACAAAGGGAAAGAATTGTTCTTTGTATTGAAAAAAAAAAGATTAAATTTCATCAACATTTGAACCCGTCACTAATATTTAAAAAAAGTCAAAAGTGTCCACTTTACCGCATCCTCCCCTACTTCATTCTTTGAAGTGTAAATTATAAACAGCGTTTTATTTATTGGCAGTTAATTTACAGCTCCGTGAGGTATTTCATGTCACGCGTGTCGCTTGACTATCACGAAAATCAACAGCGTTATCGAGAATAAACATTGAAAGCTAGAAAATGCTGTTTGAATTGAATTTTCAAAGATCTAAATAGAAAATATCTACTTCATTTATCGAATTACGAACAGTATTTTGTTGCCGAGGAACTAAATTGTCAATTAACAATTGCAATGATATTTATTAACGATGGATTTACAACTCTCCGAGATATTTCGTGTCGTGAGACTCATTGCCCTTGTCGTTCGTTTTGTTATTATCATCAGAATCAACAGCGTTATCGATGAAAATAAAAATGTAAAAATACAGTTTCTTTCTCAAGTCTCCATGCAATACTTTGGGTCGGGAGATTACATCACTCCCGTCGCCAGTCGTATAGCTATAATATAATGAAAATCCCGTGGTTACAGGAAATACTGGCACACCACTGTCTCCACGTTACATAAATAACGTTAATCGATATGGAAGTCCTAATGATGATAATGATCCTGGGAATTTGGAAGGGGTCTACCTAATCACCGAGCAAAGGTGGCACGGTGATACTGTGCTGCCAGTATCCCTGCTCCCGGTTACCGAGGGGATGTCCGCTCGGTCGCATCACAGGTAAACCCAAAAGAAATTGAAGAAAAATCTAGAACAAAAGCGTCATTAGCATTTTATCTTTTATTTACTGAGAAACATGTGAGAGTGTCTGTGAATATTTCAATTTTACGAGCCATCAGCGGCAGTTGAATACAAACGAATGAAATTTTACTTTATGTTTTATTATTCATCACTAATTTAAGACATCACATTAAATCGAAATAAATTCAGTAATGTCATTGCCTTTTCGGGACAAGTGATTATCAAATTATGAGGAATTAATTTGATTGTTATTTATAATTAGAATCCGGCAGTCCGCTACGGGACTGGATGATGCTGGAATGGATCTTCAAGCAGCACAGCTTAATACACGCGCGAGTCAGGAGGTCAGCTCGACGACAGCAGTATCATGGATATACTGGGACATACCATTTCCAGTGATTGTCTGTGCTTTTGCTGGTGCTATTCTCTTCACTTTCCTGGTAACAATTTTTCATTTTTTATCTTAAAGCTCTCCATTCCTGCCCTGACATAAAAAATCCCCCAACACATTTAATTCATTTCATCGTTTTGCATTTTCTGAATTCACTTGCTCTGGAAATGCCTCCAAATAGATTTAAAATGTATTTGAAATTCACATAATGAATTCCTTTTTCCACCCCCCACTGATGATTATGAATGATGCAAAGCAGTTCCTGTTATGGCTCCGGAAGCAAATGTCGAGTGAAAAGAAGACAGGAGATGGAGACAGACGAGGCCTGGTGGAGGAAGGAGCGCAAGTTACTCAGGCGCTCGATAAGCCAGGAAAGAGTACGCAGGAGAAGCCCATGGAGGCACAATGGGTACGACAGCCAATTGTTAAGCCGCCTGTATCCGTTCTGCCTATCCGGACAGCACCAGAAACCAGCAGTGGCTTGCCACAGGTAATTCATTGAAGCTTGCCATTATGTTCAGATTATTTTTCAACACTAGAACAATGTTTTTTATTCAATTTTACTTCTTATTAACCAATTAAATGAAATAAGAATTCAGTAGCGAAATGGTAAAGCGGTTTAAGTCAACTCATCTCCCCGTTGAGTTTTTGAGGGATATTTATGAATCTAAGGGAGATAGCGATATTTTCGTAATTACATTTGTTGTAGCTCTCAGTCGGCTCTACAGAAAAGGTTACAACAAAAATTTTGCTATCTCCCTTAGATTCCGAGATATTCATTGAAAACTGGTCAATAGTCAAAATTGGCTCATACCGTTTTATCAGTTCGCTACTGAATTATCAGCAAAAAAACTCTCACCAGCCCATTTAATTTCAAACAAAATTGAATTAAGAATAATCGAATAAAATAGTATTTTTAATTTCCGTAGCTTTATCACGATTAATCATTTATATTTGCAGGTGATGTCAGTGCCGGTTCGTGAGAGACGTCCCGAGCCGATTCGTGTGAAAGCAAAAGGTCTCCTGGAGCGTCGAGGCTCGTCAGCAAGCCTGACGATTGAATTAACACCAGCACCAGACAGCCCACCGCGCCTGGTCCCCCCAACACGTGAGTGTACCTCCGACGAGATTCTCCTGAGTACTGGGAACATCCTCTCACGTGGTCAGTTGCGTAAAGCAATAAAGGATCCATCATCTCTGCACAAGGAGTTCTGGGAGGTGCCCCTGAACGTCCCTGAGAAGGTGGATATTTTCGGGGCTGGAGTGAAGAATCGTTACTCAGGAGTTCTTCCAAATCCTCAGTCACGAGTCGTTCTCCCAGGGCTAGATGACCCAGTGGCGAGTTACATAAATGCCAATTACATTCGTGGTTACGACGGTGAGGAGAACCGTTATATCGCAACACAGGGCCCCCTTCCCAACACAGTAACAGACTTCTGGAAGATGATCTGGATGGACAATGTCCAGGCAATAGTCATGATGACGAGGCTCTTCGAGGCCTCCAAGACAAAGTGCGACGTTTATTTTCCCCTGGAGATGAACAGTCGCGTGCAGAGTGGACCCTTCACCATAATCCTCAACTCCATAATCTCGAGAGGTGGATTCACCATTCGAGATCTTGAGATCAGACACGAGGGCGAGAGGAGGCAGGTGACACATTACTGGTATGACTCGTGGCCAGATCATGCTGTACCACAGGCCTCTGACTCACTCGTCAGTCTAGCGGCTGAGGTCAATACATTGCCAGGACCAATCGTGGTGCACTGCAGTGCTGGCATTGGGAGGACAGGCTGTTTCATCGCTCTAGCTACAGGAATCATGCAATTGAGTAGAGATGGCAATGTCGATGTTTTGGGGATTTTATGTCAAATGAGGTAAATTTATTGAACTTTCTTTTATTATTTTGTTGTTGGATTTTTGTTAATGTCATGGACAATCGGAATAACATTCATCTAATTGTGATTTCACGACGATTTGGTAATTTTTCGAACTTCATCAGGATCAAGTGTTTAAAGTTTAGACACTTGATCCTGTTAGAATAATTTAAGGAAATAATAAATAAAACAAAAATTATTCAATTATTGATAATTCAATTTTTTTACGATCAGGTATGACAGGGGGGGAATGGTACAGACAGCTGAGCAGTACGAGTTTGTTCACAGAGCATTATGCCTCTTCGAGCAAACGCTAGATGGAAAAACCCCCACAACGGGCGATTGAATGAGAAAAGACTCAAGATTGAACTCTCCTAAATGATAAATCGGCCTCGTCGATAGCTAACGCATGAACTGCAGGTACGAACTCCGTTTCTAGCTCCTTGATGTTATTAGAATGACGAAGGAATGAAAAAAAAAATCTTAAAACAAATGTCAGGAACTTTGGTATGAGTGTTCGAGACATCAAATGTCTAGAGATAATGAATAAAATAACTTTCCGTTACTGCGACGACTGATGAATTCATTGTCGTGACAAGCTGCCATTCAACTATACTGCCACCAAATGTATGAATAATGTAAATAATATTACAGAGTATATATTTATCATTGATCGATGGTGAAGTTGATAAAGGCTCAAATGATTTTTTGGACTCGAGATGTTTAACAAAGACACTAATACAATGTAATGAACTTTTGAATGATCTATTCAAAATGAGATCTGATATTTTACTTCACGAATTGTAATTTACACGGAAAAAAATCGGAAAACTAACCATCGATCATACAAAACTGATAATTCACATTATGGATCAATTGAATTTTTTTTGGGACCCACTGAGCTAAACTATCACTTCTGCACTATGAAGAAAGAGACATTATGGTCTTGAGAATTAATCTTTTGGAAATGTTGAGTGGAGTGAGGAGAATTCCTGGTTCTATTCAATTGAAAATCAAACTTTTCAATATTAATAATGTAACTTCATCACTCGGACATCTGAAAAGCGCAGAAAATTTACAATTCACTAAACTATCTGTAAATTATCTTTAATTATTTTATCGACAAAGACTGAATGCGATTAGTACAACATACGTCTGATCAATCGTTGAGAGAATTTTACGGGCGTTGAAACTGGAAATGAATCAGAGGTGGAGAACAGGAAAATGTCCCTCTATCTGTCGTAGATGTTGGGAGGGAATTGTGAATGAGAAAAATAAACCGAGAAACCTGCTGAATAAGGCGAAATAGAGGAATTACAATCTCAGAGGTAAATTTACAATTATATTATTATTCGATTTCACGGAGGGCCGGATCCTCCGTGTAATTTTTTTAGGTTCACTTCTTTCTCTCTTTAAATAATTAAATTATGATTCTGTTATCATCACTTGAAGCTTAGATTTGATGGATCAATTAATTAATCATAAGAAACTGGTGAAAAAGGCTCAAATTATCGAATCTTAGAGGTAGGGGGAAGTGGGGCAGAATGGGCACTGGGTTTTTTTTTTAATTTCAATGATTCACTGAATTTTCAATGAAATGGGGTCATTTTTTTCGCATAAAAAGTACAAATTTTATTTAGAAACATTGAAAAAAAATTTCAATGCCCGTTTTGCCTCACATCCCTTGTAGAATTTCAGCTCCCCTGCGTGCCTAAAATAAAACGATCATCATTTCAAAAAGGCCTCAGTGATTGAAGGAATATTCCCTGCATTGATCACTGCTGCAACAAAATTTTTATTTAATGCAAACGATTAATTTTAGTCGGAGATATTCAAGTAATTATTTAAGTGTGAGTTATTTCTCTTCGGTAACCGCAATTTTGTGATATATAAAATATGTATACATAATAATATATTGTACAGAAAATGAGAAAAAAATTATATTTGAGGATACGAGTGGTATTGTGCGACAAGGGAGGAACAGCCAGAATTTTAACTATTATTTATGAACGATGGGTTGACAATTTATGAATAGCATTTCAATGGTATTGAACAACACTAATTCTAGCGACCCCTTGGTGTTCAATTGTACTTATGTGACGTAAATAAATGTTTATAGTATCAACATGTGTTTCTTCACTTTGTCTAAGATTTGGGAATTATTCTGATTCATAAAACGTGTCATCGATAGATTTCACGTTTTATGAATCATTCAATTGAAAACCCGAGTTGAAAACCCGAGTTTGTAGCAAAGATGTCAGACAAGATATGAATGTTTTTTTTGGCTCAAATGAAAGAGCGGCTCGAAAAATGGCGTGCAGAAGTCTTTAAAGATGACAAATGTCTCTAAAGATGATGTCTGTTTTCAATTGAAAAGCGCAATTGTGACAACATTGTCCAGTGGGGTCTAGGAGTCTCCCCTGGTTCAACACCATCTTTAGAGGCCCTAGCACGCCATTTCTCGACCCGCTCTTTCATTTGAGCCCAAAAAAACATTCATATCTTGTCTGACATCTTTGCTACAAACTCGGGTCTTCAACTCGGGCTTTCAATTGAAGGCCCGAGTTGTAGACCCGAGTTTGTAGCAGCGATGTCAGACAAGATATGAATGTTTTTTTGGGCTCAAATGAAAGAGCGGGTCGAGAAATAGCGTGCTAGGGCCTCTAAAGATGGTTTTGAACCAGGGGAGACTCCTAGACCCCACTGGACAATGTTGTCACAATTGCGCTTTTCAATTGAAAACAGACATCATCTTTAGAGACATTTGTCATCTTTAAAGACTTCTGCACGCCATTTTTCGACCCGCTCTTTCATTTGAGCCAAAAAAAACATTCATATCTTGTCTGACATCTCTGCTACAAACTCTGGTCATCAACTCTGGTTTTCAGTTGAAATTGGAATTGTTAATTTACACAATAATAGGATTGCATTGACGATTTTTTCGTAACTCGCAAAAATCTTCAAACAATTTGCTAGCGATTGGTGATAAAATTTTTTGGAAATAATGAAATAGAGGGGATAACGCTTTTTTTTCAGAGGTGATTTTCCAAAAATTTATTTTAAAAGAAGTACTAACTAGCAAATGTTTTTTATTAGCTCGCAATTTTCTTCAAAACTACTTCAATGAGGAAAAAAATGAAAATTTGGAATATCTGTACATGAGGGGCTAATTGATCGGATCTGAAAAACATGGGGACAATATCGTAAACGCTGTCCTCTCCCGCCCTCTGGCTAAACCGACACTCGATAATCTCCCTCCCTACCTTTTCCACGCCTCTCACATCCTGTTGACAGCCCTCCCCACTCCGCATCGACCCAGCGGATCGACTTCGATCTCTCCCAACACCAAATCACTCCCAACTCCCGACACCTTTCAAAACCCCCGATAAACAAAAATACAGGCGAATTATTTCGAGGCAAAACATTAAAATCAGGTCCCCTGCAAGATCATCACGTGACCGTGTCGCTCTAGCGACTGACACGCAAATGTGTTCTCCCATGTTGCGCGCCTCGGAGGGGTCCGTCGGAGTGGTCGGAGTATCGCAGCGTGCACCAGCAGCAGCCTGCCTCAGTGGGCGCATCACAAACGCTACAATCGCAAAATAAATCAGCTGGAGACCAGAAATAAAGAACTCCGGGGTTAGTTCCGCGTTCGTGCGCTCAATAATAACGATAAATACGATAGTGAACCAGTGACAATGGATTGTGGAGGGTTTAAAATGAGTTAAACGTGAGATTTAAAGTGTCCAAACACTTCCGCTGGGTTTCTAAGGCCCCTGGTGTCCCCCCGGAGCTGATGTTTTCACCTGCAGGCGTTTATTTTCATCACAATTAGAGAGTGCTGTTTCATATTCTTGGAAGTTAAACTGTAAAAATTGCTCGCTGACAGTTCGCAGTGACGTTTACCCTGTGCTATCGTTTTATTTTTATTTTTTACCGTTTTATTCATTATTTTCGATTTGTTATGATGATGTGGTGCGTGCTGGGGAGAAGTGGAAATACACGAAATGGGGCACGTTGAGGCCCGGAAGGGATACCGGGTGTCATCGACGGAGGTATGGATGTCATCGGGGACGGTGATGAGCAGACCCTTCAGGCCATTCTCGGTAAGACAATTCACCGATTATCCATTACAATGTTTCCTCATCTGAACAATATTTCCTGACACCTCTTCCTTATTATTTTTTCTCCGGTGTTATTTTTTTCCTGTTCGTCGACACTTCAGTGAAATCAGGGAATTTTCCAATAGTTCGTTGACCCCACACTCGTGACCGCAAAAAATTGGAGGGGATTGGGGAAATTATCCGATTGTTTTTTACCTGTTTTTTGTTGATACGTTGTTTAGTTCAATTTCTCATTCGATGGGAAGGTACGACTTGGAGTGATTATGAGGGTTTCATGAATTGATGAATAGACGAATAATTTATTTTAGTCCCAACAATTAAATGGAAGAATTACTGTCTTATTTTTAATTCGAATTAAATCTGTGAATATCGAACAATTGTTGTGGAATTCTCGATGACACTCACAGGTATAAATTTCATATTTTTTATTCGGCTGTTTGCATTGAAAAGTTGATCATTCGCGAAATTTCACAAAGTAGAGGCAAGTAGGGTAAAACGTACTGGCTTCAATCGGAAATATCTCCTACGCAAATGAAGCGATTCAGACGAGTCAGTTCTCATTTGAAAGCTTGAAAAAACACCTTGAAATTGAAGAAAAAATCGGGAAATTTCCCCTTGCCGTTCTCGAGCTATCGACGATTAAACTACAACTGCTAAAATCGGAAAACGAAAAACCTGTCACTGAATTTTTCCTCAACATGGACTGAAAAGTGTACGTGGTTCGCCGGTTGAAATTGCAACGAGTCCACGAGTACTTGTCTCCTTAACGCGTATATCATACCCTACTTTTTCCCAAGATATTCCCCCTTCACGCCAATGAAAAAAAAGACCTCAATCGTGAAAGAAGGAGTTTTAAAAAGAAATACGCATTATCCAAGCAACTCGGTGTGTACCTGTTACGCGTGTTTCATGCTTCGCAGGCTATGATGCGCAACCGCATTACTACAGATTATATATATTGTCTCGCCTCTTAATGTCATTCTTATCACTTTGATTTTCAATGAAATTCAGTTTATCTCGAATAACAGTAGTAGTTGTTGGAGAAACAGTCCACGGGAATTCATCTTAAGACATTATAGTTAAATTATATCTTACAAGCTCTGTTAATGCATGAATGAATGGGTGGGGAGCAATGATTTTTTATTACACTGTTTCGCATGAATTCATTGAGTAGCGATTTTTTAGAACTGAAGAGCATTTGAATTTTTAGACAATTCACAGTTGGAATTGCGCATAAATTCATTGAAAATTAATTACAAATTTCATATTAATATTCAATTACGCAAGGAATCTCTTGATTTCCATGATTCCCAGTTTAAACTGTTCACAAATAACTGGCTAAAATTACTTCAATATCGTGATAATCCAAATACTGAGAAAATAGCACGGAAAATTCCCCAAACAAAACAAAACAAATTTCATATTAATTTTTTTTTGCGTCATCGGACGCAAATTTTTTTTTGCTACAAATTTCATATTAATATTCAATTACGCAAGGAATCTCTTGATTTCCATGATTCCCAGTTTAAACTGTTCACAAATAACTGGCTAAAATTACTTCAATATCGTGATAATCCAAATACTGAGAAAATAGCACGGAAAATTCCCCAAACAAAACAAAACAAATTTCATACTAATTTTTTTTTTTGCGTTATCGGGTGCAAATTTATTTTTGTTACAAATTTCATATTAATATTCAATTACGCAAGGAATCTCTTGATTTCCATGATTCCCAGTTTAAACTGTTCACAAATAACTGGCTAAAATTACTTCAATATCGTGATAATCCAAATACTGAGAAAATAGCACGGAAAATTCCACAAACAAAACAAAACAAATTTCATATTAATTTTTTTTTGCGTTATCGGGTGCAAATTTTTTTTTGCTACAAATTTCATATTAATATTCAATTACGCAAGGAATCTCTTGATTTCCATGATTCCCAGTTTAAACTGTTCACAAATAACTGGCTAAAATTAATTCAATATCGTGATAATCCAGATACTGAGAAAATAGCACGGAAAATTCCACCGACCAATTTTGAAACATCCGTAATCTATTCCTCATTTTTTGTCTGATGTAAACAAGTTTTTCAACTCGTAGTAATTATTCAGAGGGAGTCTCTCGGGCTCCACCAACAAATAGACACACATTTAGCAGGTTAAACAGTCCCTAAATTACGACGCCATTAGTTTGAATGTTTTGGAATCAATGTTCCGGTGATTTCCCCATGATATTTACCATCATCAAGGGTAAACATATACCTAAAAAACATTAGAAGTGGGGAGGGCAAATGGAAAGGCGGAGATCCTCGGATCGCAGAGCCTTTCGCATTTTACCACAGGCTCAACAGTACACCTTGTACCACACGCTTTCTGACGTCACAGCTACACTGCGTACATTCACCTCATTAAGTACCCATGGCATCCATTATCTAGAACAAAGGTTAGAGTATTATTGAGAGGGGAACGCTTCAGCTGTTCCCCGAATTTTGTTCCATCCTCCGAGAGAATTCAGGGATTTTCCCCCAATTGTTGTTTTTTATTCTCGTTGAATTCCTTTCGCAATTCCTCTTCCTCGTCAACTGCACAATGCCCTTCATTTTCTGAAGAGTGACATTTTTTTCCGGCAATGTTGAATCCTCATTCCGCATTTAGATAATTGAATCAGCATGTTCAAACAAATTAATCCGGCAGGACAATGTTCACGCTCAACAGGGTTCGGTGTATTTGTTTACCTTTCACTGCACCGCGTGCATTCAATTAAATCCGCGCGCCCGATGACTCATCCGGGTTCTTTTATTTCGACAGCCTGCCAAATCCTTAAACAGTGGAAATTTTCCTCGTAATCTCTATGACAATAGTTGTAATGTACTGTTCTTTGTGAGAAGTTGTTTTGACTTCACGCGAATGTCTCGTGTAACATTGTATTGGGCTGTATGAGGGTATCTGGCTTGTAATTAACCGTGATAGCGTTATCGGGTGCATTAAGAGCGAATTTATGGGTTGAGAATCGGTGACTTTAACAGCCCCTTTAACGATGATTTTTAACAATTTGGTTTTAACAATTTTGGCTTTGTTTGTTAGATGCTCTTATTTTTGTTGTTAGATGTCCTTAGTTATTTATTATTTATATTTCATTCATTTTTTTGTCTCTTATAAATTTTTGTAAGTGTAAAAACCTGTAGAAAATGGGATAAATTAAGTAAGAAACTCAATGTTTTGTGCTTTCTACTAAATTTCTGGCAATGGGGATGGTAATTGGTGGTTGGATTTCGATCTATGACATTACTTTATCGACTCGATTATCGCATTGTTGAGCCAATGAAGTAGTTTAATCAATAAAAAATAATAATTGCAGGAGAAAACATAATTCTAAAAATTCATATAAACGCAGGGGTTCCGTTTCCCCTTAACCCTAGACTGGTCACCATGTCAGGGAATTGCCGCAACACGTCGTTTTATTCACCTTGCCATCGACTGGTTGGCCGGAAAAATTTGAGAAAAATTCAGTAGTGAAGCGGTAAACCGAGTTAAGTCGATTTTGACTATTAGCCAGTTTTTGCTGAATATTTCGGAATCTCAGAGAGATAGCAAAATTTTTCTCATTACTTTTTTTATAACGCTCTATTGGCTCTACAAAAAAGGTCATGACAAAAATCTTTCTATCTCTTTTAGATTCCCAGATATTCGTCAAAAACTAGCCAATAGTAAAAATCGACTTAACCCGGTTTACCGCTTCGCTACTGAATTGAATTCGTCAATTGAAGTATCTGGAAAATTCTAGTATTTTTTTTTTCAATATTGTATCCTTAATTCTGGGAGAAAAAAAATTATTTCCAACAGGTGAACAATTTTTTCCCGCGTTAAATGAAATTGCCCGTTGCGCGACGTTGCTGGGAACTCGCTAAACGCGCCCGGGAAGTGTAGAGTAGATTCGGCAACGCTGGAGCCTAAATAACACGGCGGCACTCTTCCGCGAAGGTGACTAAAGTCGCATTTTCCCGTCAGGTAACCAGACTAGGGTTAATTTAAAAGAACTTGGGAGAGTGAATTTTGATCTCGAGGAGAACCCCGAAATCTAACAGGTAAAAATTGCTAAAACTTAAGGAGAATTATCAAAAGTCTTTTTGTAATTCAACACGGAGAGAAATATTCAATGAAAATTACGTATCTTTTCCGTAATTCCGGAGCGAAATGTGGTTGTAGGAAATTTTACGGAACTGTCACGGAATTTTCCCGGCGCGTTCCCTAATTTTTATCTGAATCTCTTGTGAAAAATTGCGATACCGTCACTTAAATTGTCTGAGTCGATTCCGTAATCGGTGAGTGAAGTGAGAGTTCCGTAATTTTTACTGGACATTTCTCTCCGTGAATCAGAGGTTTTGATTTAAATTGAAAATCCACGTCTCCTTCCATTCTACATTTCCTGAATTTTTCTTGTTGGACACTACAAAATCTGAAAAATCTTGAGTTTCATCAGAGAAAATCATAGGTAACATTCCACCCATTCAACAAAGTAAATTTCCTTCTGACTCTCGTGGACGATTGCACTGAGTACTGTTATAAAATTGTCTCGTCAGCGGGCACGTGGTAGTGAATGAGGAGATTCGATTAAAAAAAAGTGCACCAGGTACTTGTATCAACTTCAATTACCAGGAAATTACGTAACAGAGGCTCTTTGCGCGGCCTTTTGGGAGCGTTCGAGGACATGTGATTGCATTGAGCAACAAAAATTCCCAAAATGTGAGACGAAAAAAAGAACAGGAAAAAACTCTCCCCAAATGATGATGGCAATTACAATAACAAAATGAATAGTAATTTATGCTCATTTTTTGGTAATTAACATCTGTGTGCGGAGACGTCAGTTCCAAATAGTTTTGCTGGTAGAAGCCGTAGGATTTTTGGACATGAAAAAAAGATGAGGAGATGAAATAAATCACTTGATGGTATTCCGAGTTGTTTGAACGTTTCAATGGGTGA